CAGAGCAGGGATCAGGGGGTTGAGGAGCTCCCCACTGTCACTCACAGAGTAGGGCCGATAGGGGAGTTGGGGCACGCCCCCTGTCACACAACACGCAGGGCAGATCAGGGGGTTGGGGCACTGCACCCTGTCACACTCAGGGCAGGGTCAACGGGGAGGTTATGGCTCTACCCTGTCACACACAGAGCAAGGCCCATGGAGGGGGGTTGGGGCGCCACCCTCTATCACCCACAGAGCAGGGCCGATCAGGGGGTTGAGGAGCTCCCCACTGTCACTCACAGAGTAGGGCCGATAGGGGAGTTGGGGCACGCCCCCTGTCACACACAGAGCAGGGCAGATCAGGGGGTTGGGGCACTGCACCCTGTCACACTCAGGGCAGGGTCAACGGGGAGGTTATGGCTCTACCCTGTCACACACAGAGCAAGGCCCGTGGAGGGGGGTTGGGGCGCCACCCTCTATCACCCACAGAGCAGGGCCGATCAGGGGGTTGGGGCGCCACCACTGTCACACTCGGGGCAGGGCCAATGGAGAGGTTATGGCTCTACCCTGTCACACACAGAGCAAGGCCCGTGGAGGGGGGTTGGGGCGCCACCCTCTATCACCCACAGAGCAGGGCCGATCAGGGGGTTGGGGCGCCACCACTGTCACACTCGGGGCAGGGCCGATGGAGAGGTTATGGCTCTACCATGTCACACACAGAGCAGGGCCGATCAGAGGGTTGGTGTGCTGCACCCTGTCAAACACAGAGCCGCAGGGCAATCAGGGGATTGGGGAGCTCCCCCCTATCAGGCACAGAGGAGGGCGGAGCGGGGGGTTGGGGTGCCTTCCCCTGTCACGAACAGAGCAGGGCGGATAGGGAGGTTGTGGCCCCGCCCCCTGTCACACACAGAGCCGCAGGGCGATCAGGAGGTTTGGGCGCTGCCCCCTGTCACGCTGACCCTGGTGCCGGGAGCCTCGCTGCTCCACTGATCCTGGTGCTGGGAGGCATATTACCCTTTTACTATATAGGATAGAGGCCTGGGGGCCGGCTGGTTTGCCCTGAAGGGTGTCCTGGATCAGGGTGGGGGTCCCCACTGGGGTGCCTGGCCAGCCTGGATGAGGGGATGATGGCTGTTTGCAGCTGGTCACACACCCTTCAGGGTGGGGGTCCCCACTGGGGTGCTTGGCCAGTCTGGGTGAGGGGCTGAGGGCTGCTTTCAGGCTGGCGGTTGTTGACTGAAGCTCCCAACCGCTCCTTTTTTTCTTTTTTTTTTTTTTTTTGGCCAGCTTTAGCTCTGGGGCCTTGCTGCTGAAAACATAGATACAATGTTGCGGTCCGAGCCCGGCTGAATGGAAGCCCTTTTCTGGGGTTTTGTTTAGCTTCTTATTTGCAACATAGTATATAGTTGCTTAGAGTTGCAACTGAGAGGCTGGCAAGTGAGGCGGGGAACGTTGGAGTCTGCAGCAAGCAAGCCTCCCTGCTCGCTTCAGTGCCTGGCTGCTGGCTGCCATCTTGGCTGACAGTTAATTTGCATATACTCACTGATTAGCCAATGAAAAGGGTAGCGGTCGTACGCCAATTACCATGTTTCTCTTTTATTAGTGTAGATAATATAAAGCAAGTTTAGAATAATTAAGCCTTAGATTGTTGTAATCTCTCAATATTGATTAGTTATTTCACCTTAAACTTCCCCTTAAAAACTACCATAATCTACCTCACATCCATAAAAGTTAACGGATATATCAAGAGGCTAAAGAGATCTATAAATTGGACAAACTTAAGTTATAGCAATTTTTACCAGTTTAAATAAAATGAGCAAATGCCACAGCTTGGATGTCAAATGTCATGTCAAAAATAATTTAAATCACAACTCAGCCACTTATACACTTTATATGGATATACTCTATAGAATATAAACTGCTCCTCATTGAAGTTAATTAAAAATACTTTGAAAGTTAAAAATAAAATCAGAAAAGTGTCAGAACTAGTATCAAAGATAGAGAAGAATGATAAATAAGCATGAGCTTTGGAATAAAATTTAGATTTAAGTTCCAGCTCTTGCCATCTACCATGTGGCCTTCGGCAAGTTACTTAATTTCCAGAGTTTCGGTTTTTTAATCTGTGAAATGAATGAGCGTAACAAGGATAGTAGCAGCAGTAATAATAGTAAATTATTTTTTTAAT